CCCCACTTTTTTTTTTTGTTTCGGTTACCTCTACATGAGATCTAATCATCAATCCCTTCATTGTAAAACGTCTTTTTTTTTTTGGGAAACAGAAAGGGATTAGTTGCATTGGGGCCCAACACCAGAAAACAATTTCACCACGCCGGTGGAGCGGCCAAGAAGAAAGTTACTGCCTATCGACCAGCTACCGCGGCCAATCGGTCATCACTCCACCGAAAAGAGTTAGCAGAGCCACCGGCGCTTCCACCTTGGACCACACAAAGTAGTGGGCAAGTTAAAAACAGCACCAGAGGAGGCATCACATCTGAGTGGCATACATGAAGCGAGGGACAAAGACAGTGTACGCAACACTTGACATATCTCTTGTATTGATATATAGCTCCCATTGTAAATATAACCGTTTGTTTTTACCTATTTCTTTTTTTTTCTTGTTTTTCAATGAGTACACCAACAAAAAGGCCCCTTTTCTTTAAATTTCTTTTTGTTGTGCTTTCTGTTGTTCAACTCCCGCCTCTTCTCTTACCCAACCTCTTTTCTACAATATGGCACTTCAATTAACACCAGTAAGGGGTTTTCGACCAGCCGTGGAAACCGCTCCTGTCGCGCTGCCCACAACTAGCATCCCAGGCACGGCGTTGCTGAGGGAGCGTCGCCCAGACGGCCCTCCACCGGCGTTTTGTGACATTGCCCGCCTTCCACTGCCACAGACAAACGTGCGCGGAGGGCACGTCGGCGGTGTGTGCGCCAGCAGTTGAACCGCCTGATCAAGCGGCATGAAATCCGAAAATCCACGAATTGTAATGGGGGGAATCCCACGACCATCCTTGATCGTCATGAGATCCGGGAGGTCTTCGCGCCTAAGGGCAGCCATCACCACATAGAGTGGGTCAGTACCAGTTTCTCGCGAAAGGGCGGCCTGTCCGCCATTCATGAACGCAATTTTGAACAGCCGCTCCGCCGATTCAACCTGGAGCTGCCGTTGCAACGCTGCTAGCAGCCCTTTCGCGGTGTGATATTGAGTGACAGGAAGACGACTCATGGGATTAAATCCCTTCATGTCAAGCAGCGCTACAAGCAATGCTTTTCCAACATCAGCGAATGCCGACTGAGAATACTTGGGACATGGCGTACCTTGAAGCACCTCGGGCTCGTCCACTGGGTAGTTCGAGATAGCTGGGAGTGAATTCAAGGTGTTCCCTATAACATACGAGACTTCGATGGTGTAGCTGTGAACGATACCTGTCTCCTGGTACAACGTCACACGGCTGGAATTGTCACGGCCCTCACCTGTCTTCCCAGTAGCAAACATGTTTGCTTCCGAGAAATTTGACGATTGAAATTCAAAATATGGCGTGTTCAACGCTACCAGTTTGGTGTACATGAGACTCTGCAGAAGCTCTGGGGCATCCATGGAGTTTCCATAGAAAAACATCCCCCGCTTATTTGCATGTGCATGCATGTCAATAAAAAGGGCAAGTCGTCCCCTAACTGAGGCAATGGAGTGAAGAAGACTTCGTATACAGTAGGGTGCAGGATGTCGCCTTTTGGAAGGATTTCTGTACTTGCGATTAAGATTGACCCCTTCTGTATCAGCACGACTGTGTCCTCTAACGACACCGTCCGGGTTGATCATCGGCACAAGAAGAAACACGAAACGTGAGCGCAATGCAATCGCACGTGGGTCTACCTGGCTAAGAAGAAATTCAATACAGCCATGCATTACGTGACTCGAAGGACTCTCTCCAGGATGGACACGGGCGGAAAGCACTACAAACTGTTTTCCCACAAAGTGATGAGGTCGTACTGTTTCACCCATTGCAGAGGAATACGGTATGTCGCCCTCAGCATACAAAGGCGCTCTGTCGGTACAAATGCCGGACCTGTCTGTGATGGTGAGGAGATCGACATTTCGTCCATCCAACGATTTGCAAAGAATCTCATGGTGAAAGTATGTAGACAAAGGATACGCCCCGGACCCGCCTTCTGATGACGTTTCAGGGCTAATACCATTCTTTCCTGTCCCCGCGACTTGCTGCTTCCATGCCTTAATGTTCTGCTGCAGCGTTGTGTAGGAGTAGGGGTGATTACTGGCGACATACGTTGCCGGACACTGCGGGTGGCCGAGGGAGTACGACGATGCACTGAGTGACGTATCAATGTCAAGGCGTACCTCAAAGGTTAGGTTCATCGCAACGCTGCTGTCCTTCTTCTTCTTCTTTGTGGCAGCCGCAGGCACTTCAATGACATCGGGTAGGCCCTCCGAGCTTCCGTTGGCGTCTGCGTCCTCATTGCCCGCGTCACCGGCTCCCTGCACGTCGCTGGACTTCTTCACCCACGGCTTCATGACGAACGCGGGGTAACCAGGCGTCGGCGGCATCGCATCGAGAGTGACGACTGTGGCGCGGCCCGGGAGCCGTGTGTACTGCGGCCGCCCCGGGCACACCGCCACCACTGGCATCCACCCGTACGTGAACATCTTGCTGTGCATCATGCCCACGAACGTGAAGGTGATGACGCAGCCGCGACTTCCACCTCGAATGGCAAAGTGAAACCATTGTCGATTGTTTGTTTGCTTTGGTGAGTTGCCGCAGTCAGGGGATGTATACATATTGTAGCGATACGCGCCGACGCGCTCAACTTGAATCAAGTTCCCGCTGTCGAAACGGGAGGAGAAAATAAGACCATCCTCAGGGAACTCGAACTCCCGCTGATTGTCCGGGGGCGGTGTGTACACCCAATCCGCGTCATCCTCCGCGATGTCTTTGGCCACCGGCTTGGCTAACTCTCCACCGTTAAGACAACTGGACATCTTCTTGTCATCGTTATTCATCCGTCCAGGTCGTTTCGGTCCCCAAGGCAGCTGCTGCTGTTGTTATTATTATGACTGTGCCCTCGTTGCGTTTTCCTACCCTTTCCCCTGACGCCTTGGATGCAAGAGGCTAGAAATTTAACGCCACTCTTACACTGCTTCTTCCCCCCTTCTATCCGTCACACCCCGAAAAAAAAAGCGAAAACACAGCAAGGAAGACACTCAAACGAGAGAGGGAGAGAAGGGAGGACAGAATGCAAGTCTTGAAAAAAACACGCTGAAGCAGTCTCTCAGTATATATATATATATATATATATATATATNACTGCTTCTTCCCCCCTTCTATCCGTCACACCCCGAAAAAAAAAGCGAAAACACAGCAAGGAAGACACTCAAACGAGAGAGGGAGAGAGAGAGCGAGAGAAGGGAGGACAGAATGCAAGTCTTGAAAAAAACACGCTGAAGCAGTCTCTCAGTATATATATATATATATATATATATATATCTGTGTGCGTGTGCCCCCGTATCGTGCATCTCTTGCATCTTGTGGCAATGTTGATCGTGTTTGTATAACCCGATGCTTCCATCTCGCTCCCTTTTTCTCCCGCAGTCTCACCAGCACATGTTGTTTCACACGGAGAACCAACGTGAGAGAGTGAGAGAATAGAGAAAGAAACACAATACACGTGTTAGCATTTAATGTGACACCCTTGCCATCCCTTACAGAGAGGCCTACTTACGCCACCCCCAGCCCCACTTCCACCGCTTCTCCTCCTTCCCGCCGGAGGCGTCCGCTTGTTGTTGTTCTTGCTGCTGCGAAGAGTTGCCACGCGTTGGGTAATCCACGTATGTGGAAGCAATATCCACAAAAACAGGCTTGCACGGTACAGCTTGGTAATCAGGAGGGAACTTGATTACGTTCTGGGCAACCGCCACCTGATCTCCAGCGTCGACAAGGTACTGCACTGGTTTTTCTTCCTCTCTCTCCTCCCCACTGACTGCGCCGCTCAAGAGAGTCGATGATGCTAATAACAGGAAGCTCTTCTCCGCCACAAGCCGAAGTGCCTCCACGCGCGGTGACACTGGTACTTCCCCAAGAACAGAAAGCGAAGCCTTGTAGCAGTTCTGCGCCCGCCCGGAATCCTTTACGATGCGCCAACTCTCTCCAAGGTAGAGGAGCTTCCCCGCACGACAAAGTGCGGTGAGTTCCTCCACGTCTTCGCGCCCAGCAACGCCCGGGAGAAGCTCTATCTCACCTAACGTTTCCAACGCGGCGTCGTACAGGCGTACTACCTCTAGCGGCGAGGCGTACTGAGCTGGAGAAATCTCCCTTTTCCCCTTGCTGACGCCGTTGTTGTTGTTATTGCTGCTGCTGCTGCTGCTGCCGATGCCACAATGACCACCAGTAAGACTCTTTTCTGTGGCGCGGAATCGGCGTGTGTGAACCTCGACCATGAAGAGTGTGCGCTGCAGCGTCTCATGAGAGACCTGGAAGAGCAAGTAGTGCAATAGGAGCTGCAGCTCCGTCTTCTGCCTCTCATCGGCCAGAGAGCGCAGGTCCTGGCGGGCGTGGGCGAGAGCGTCATTAAGGCAACCAATGCGCCGGTCCATGAGGTCAAGCACCTTGTTCTGCTGCCCAACAGGAATGGGACCGCTTAGCTCCGCTGCCTTCGCCTTCGCCGCTTCGACATTGAGGGCCCGCACCTCACGCAGTGCATCCTTTACCTTGATGGAGGCCACATTAAGCTGGCGGCCGTTCCACTCAATTGTCGTGACCGCTAGCTGTTGTGATGTGTCCTCAACGTCTACGTGTGGCTTGTAGAGGGACGAGTCCTCGCCAATCCGCAGCATGCAATACACAACTCGATCGTCGAGCTCCGTCACTTTCGCCCACAGCAGCGTCCACTGCTCTGGTGTGCTGCACTTCCGCAAGGCGTAGTACCGCTCGCGCGCGGCAAGGAAGTGCTGTTTCGCCTCTGCCATCAAGCCGTGCGCAGCGGCGGCTCTCCCCTCGACCTCCATTGCGTAGGCCTCTGTTTCCTGCTGCAGCCGCTTGCTCGCCACGGCCTGGGCCACCGCGTGCAACTTCGCTGCCCACTTGACAGATTTGTTGAGGCGTTTGCGGAACTGGTCACTTGGCGGCAGGCCACCCTGTGGTTTGTTCTCGCCCCCACGTGCAGCAGAGCGGCGCTTCTCCTGCATTTCTTCCGCTGCCGCCCAGCATCGCTCAGCGCAGAGCGCGAGCAGCTGCAGATGCTCCGTTTTCGTCGCTATCTGCGGGGTGATGTCCCGCTTCTGGAACTTCTTCGAGTCGTGAATGAGGCCAAGCTGGTGGCGCAGCGTTGACAACCGGTTGGTTGTGTAACGACGGTAGCGTGCATAGTCTTCCGCGCGCAGGCCATGCTGGAGCTGAATCTCCTTCAGGAACAACAATAAATCAAACTCCATCCTCTTTCTTATCTCTTTTCCCGTTTTCGATCGGTATGTGTTTCCCTATCTTCTGCTCACTTTCTTCTTCTTTTCCCGCCGCAACACCAACAACAAAGAAAGAAAGCGCCAGACAACTGGCAGTGAGAAACATGTGGCACCACACGCCATGCACCGCTCGACCGTTACAACTTCTCCCCCTTTTCCAAACGCAGTTTTCTTTTTTAAAGTCAAGTGAAAATCAAAACAAGAAAAGTACTTTGAGATCTCTCTCGTCACGCGGCCGACGGCTGGCAGATGGGACACACCACTTACTTAGCAGCGGTGGGGTTGTTGAGCTTACGGATGGCAACCTTGAATGCGAGCGAGTCCGAAACCTTGCGGCCAGCCTTGGTGATGCGGTGGCCAGACTCCTCGCACTTCTCGATGAGGCCGAGGTTGCGCAGGCTCTTGCAGCACCAGTGAAGCAGCCCGCGGGAGGCGCGCGTCGTAATCTCCGGGCGGCTGCCGCGGTTCTTCTTGTTGGAGAAGCGCTTGCTGAGGCCACCGTAGCCGACACCTGGGCGCATGTACACCGCGCGCAGCACGGCGGCGCAGCGAATGTAGTACCAGTCAGGGTTCTGCGGCGCACGTTCGCGGCCGTGTGACGTCTTCACGATCTCGGTGCAGTTCGGCACCATGAGCTTGCCCTCCCGCTTAAGGTGGTGCGCACACGTCTTGGCCCAGCGCCACGGGTTAACATCCCTCAGCGTCGCGCCCTTCTTCTTGCCGATGCGGCGGATCTTCGACTTTCCCACCGATGCAACCATTGTAGACACCTTTACATACGCGCAGAGACGCACACAGCCGAATATATATACACCAGGGGATACAAGAGGTAA